GTATATATATTATTGATTTAATTATAAATATATACATTATATACTGCATCTCACTGCATATATTTGTATTTCAGTTCTTTAATTGGGAAATTAAACAATTGTATTTAATCACATCCGCTTGTTTACCAATTTGATACCTAATGAGAAATGTATTGCCAAAGGATGGTACTTTCTAGCATCTGCTTAAATTTTAAGTTACCTACAATGCACTAAACCAAATTAAAAAACAAAACTAGAAGAAACCCAAATTTTAAGGAAGAGAAACATTATTAACAAGCAAGCAAAGAGAATACGGGAAAATAATTAGAAACTTAACACGGAATAAATTAGAAACTTAACACGGAGTTCAAATTTAGCATACTTGCTATCCCCTTAAAGCTCGCTTACCACTGATAGTAACACTCTGCAGCTTATTATGACACGCATACACATAGATGTTTTGCGTTGAAGAAAGGATGAATCCTAGAATATAATGTAGTGAAGAAAGAAATAATATATACAAACACTGTGTCGACCCCTTATATAATACTTTGAATGTTACCTGTATCTCTCAAAAGATAAATGAAAACATGAAGATAACATATAATAAACTTAATAATACCCAAAAGCAATAAATAAATTATATTGCAACAAAACGAATTTTAAAAAAAATTTACAACGCTTAACAAATACCAATTCTCAACGCACAACAATTCGGGAATTAAGGAAATTGTCATAGCGTAATAATGTTTTATTCCGTATCTCACGTTTAGTGCTATATAATCTTCCACAGATTTTATATAAATAAATCTAACTGGGTATATGTAGTTCTTGATATATAATACAATAATACATATAGTACATATACTACATATAGTATATATTATAATACTATATGTAGTTCTTGATGTAAAAAAGATCAACTTCCGTACTGTAAAAATTCCATCTATGTGAATAAGTATGAATATACTCATATACACATAATTATACTAAATAACTAATTTAATGAAACTAAATTCCTATAGAAAAAATGGGGAAAAAGTGTAGAATCGCCCACTGCTTGGCGTGTTTTTAAGAATTACACATACTCGGTATCCATGTACACATCGACCTATTTTCACTTAAAAAAAAAATCCCAGAATTGCACAAAAATGGCATTCCGCACTCCTTTGACTTTATCCATGTACACATCGACCTATTTTTACTCAAAAAGTCAAAAGAAAATTGACAAAAATTCAGTTCTTTTTACTTTTGTAAAAAGTGACAAATAAATAAGTGGGCGATTCTGCACTTTAACCGAAAAAATATATAAAAATACCATTTACCTATACATATTAATAATTTATTATTACACAAGGTTTTTAATATATCATCTCAAAGGTACATAAATTTAATTAAAGCGATGCATTATTGGAATAAATTTGAGTCAGTGTTTTAGGTGTAACTTATTTAGATTTCAATGTAAAAAGAATAGAAAATGTATAGAAATATTATTTTGAACTATAAAAATTCTAAATTCTAAATAGTAAAAATTTAAAGTACTGAAAAGGTAGCTATTGTTTTGACACAGTAGATTATATAATATAAAAATACCTCATGCTGAGCATTTTCTGAAATTACAATGCCAAATGAAATTGATATAGAGCAGTATTTAGCAATAATAACTTTTTGTAAACAAATGTAGCTATATTCGCTTAATTGTAATGACATTAATTTTAACTGCATTTGTAGAAGGCTGTACAGAAGATTTATTTATATGGATTTTCATCCGCAGAGAACAACCGGATTCTCTGTGGAAGTGCTTCCGAAAATAATGTTTAAATATTACTCTAAGTATATTTGAAAGCAATGCTATAACAGTGCCCTTATAACACTCATGATCCGAAAAGTTTTGGTTTTAATTGTCTCCTAAAAACTTTCAATTACTTCTGCAAAATTCATACCCACGTAAAAATTACTACACCGAAGTCAATGGATTATACAGCAAAACGTTCCTGAAACAATCAGCTCCACAATTCGAGATAATGCCAGTTTCCTGTAGCCTGACAAAACTATGAGTGATTTTTAAGTCCTGTTATTTAATTATTGTCCTGACAAATGTGCCATTATAAGAGGTGGTCATTTAAGAAAATAACCACTATATGAGGTTTCAACTTAATGTAATTTTGTTCAAATAAATAATTCACTTTTTATACTCCCAAGACTAGTACATTTAATATTACATAAATCTCATTCATAAATCTATTTCTATTTCAAAAGCAATTTATGAAAAACACATTTGAAATTTTCTTCATCAAGCTAATAATCATGAAAATTAAAGTATGCATAAAAATGATTATATGTGTTTTAACAAAATAGCACAAAATACTCGTATTTAACGTAAAAATGCGGTTCTAGTCTCATACTTGTAAAGAAAATAGACCAAAAAAAAAATGTAAGTACTATGATCATCTAAAATTTTCACATAATTTTAGTAGTGGAAAAAAAAATAAAAAGATTCCTTAAGCTGTATGTCTTGTCTACCCCATTCAATAAGTAATAAACACATTAAATACTTCAATGTTATTTCATTAATAAAACTTACCTTTTTTGCTCGCGAAATATAATTAGTACATTTTTAAAAAACATAAAAAAACATCCTTTTGCTCGGCCACATCACATAGTCGAAAAATTGAAAATTGAATCATGCAAGATTATTTTTAAGTAAGGTATGCTCAAATTTATTAGTACATAATATTCACGTGATATAGCAATCTACATGAACAAGCTTTAAAAAAGTATTTCTAAACTGTAATCAAAAAAAATAAATTTTCCAAAATACAGTTTCAGTAGAATGCAAAAAAAAAACTATATTTCTGCATCTGATCACATCTGCATCTGCACACTGAACCAAATTATCAAGTCTGAAATTGTCACTTTTCAGTCTTTAAGCACATTGTTTTTCAGGATAAAAGTAAAGATGGAAAATCAATTTCACGCACAGAAACTCCATTTCACAACTAGTCAGTTATCAGCAACGTTCTTTCAAACATTAGACACGATTACACATGCATGGCTTTAGTGGTATATTCATAGTCAGTGCTGGTATTTTATTATTTATTACTGATTTCTAAACAGTAAAACATAGCAAAATTTGTAATACAGTAAATCATAGTAAATAATATATTGCATTACTACGAAGAAAATAACATCACCATCGCACAACAATAACTAGAGCGGCGCCATACTGCATTTTTGGGAAACTTCTGAGAGTGGGTGAAGGAGCATGGGAGGGAGGGGGAATTTTTTTCCTCACGTCAGCGTTAACAGGGAGAAAAGTTTTACGATTGTGAATGAACTTGTTCTCGTTAAAGTGATGTTGGTTGATACCGGTGTTTATTTGTAATATCAGAAATGTAAGTGCTTATGTGTGTGTATTCAGAGAACCAACTCGTAGCAAAAACCGCCACCCTAAGACGACCGCCTCTGAATGAAATCAGTATTTCTGAAAACATAAGTATAATTTGGTATTAAATATTCCCTCTGTAAGGCGACCATTCACAAAGAAAATTCTGCAAGTGTGGCTGGTCACCTTAGAGAGATTCATTCCGTAGATGCAATCTCCCTAAGACGACCACCTCTAAAAGATAAACGGATCTCTGAGAACGTGAGTATATATTGGAATTGAGCATCACCTCTCTAAGGCGACCACTTGCAAAGATAAATTTTTATTTGCAGCTGGTCGCCTTAGAGAGACCTCGTTGTGTGTGGTGTATATGATTACTGTTATTGTTTCCGAAAAAAAAATTAACTGAAATAAAAAAGCATATATTTAGTAAAAACCCTCTCTAAAACGACCAGGTTACTCTGATGGTCTTAAAGAGATCATATTTTCATTCTGTTAATTTTATTGTTTACAAGAAGTCTATTAACGTCAGATAAAAAAAAATAGCATAAACCCATATAAACCAACAGAATATTTATTATTATATTGATACCAGTAAGAAAACCAGTAAAAGTCAATATAAACCTATACAAACAAGTACAAAGTTCTGCCATTGAGAAAAAAAAAAAAAAAAAAAAATGTTGGTTGTATGGGTGTCAATTGATACCAGTAAGAAAATCCACAGAGATCAATAGAAACCAGTAAAAGTCAGTAGAGACCATCAAAAATTCTATAGGTACCAGTGGAAAATTTTACTGGTTTCTATGGGTCATTTTGAAACCAGTAAGAAAAACCCACAGAGACCGACAGAAACCAGTAAAATTCAATAAAAACCCATAAAATCTTATAGATACCCATAAAAAGTTTTACTGGTTTCTATGGGGCATTTTTAGCAGGGGACCTATCTGTTTTTATCTTTATCATTAAAATTTCGATAATAAAGGAAATGATATTACGAAATTAAACGGAATAATTATCGTGAATAAATTATTTCTACATGGCATTTGCGCGAATAATCATTTGCAAGAATACCTATTGTAGCAAATATATACTTTCTCACTAAATAACTGTTTACTTGTAAATTTTTAAAATATGATCTCTAGTTTATCATTAAAATCATTAAATCCAGCAACTGTCCTGCCATTTAAAAGCAAATGCTTTAATAATTATAAAGTAATTATTCCAAATTTTTATGTAACATTAATTTCTACAGGTCCTAAGAAATGAAAGAAAACAGGAAAAAAAATCTATTGGCAATAAAATAATAAATATTATTTCACAAATAACTTTCTTTTTGAAAAATTATTTTAAATCACTTCCTCTGAATTTGTAATTGGAATAAATTTATTGTTATTAAGAAACCAAAAAATAATTCCGTCAGTATTTTTATCGAACTGATAAATCGGTAAATAAACTATTAATCCTTATCCAAAATATTTCAAGGACAGCGGACTTATCCTCAAACTCTTTATGTGCAATAAAAGTGTCTGTTTGTCATATCCTTTCAGTAATTTACCACCCATAATTAACATTCGAAAATTAAAAGTTAAAAAATATTATTGAATTTGGAACCCTAAAGTAAAGTTAACAAACTGACCTTTAATGTTATCAGTATTTGCATCCCCTTGTGTCCCTTGAGCCGCGCTCCATGCACTCCTGCCTAAATTTTAAGATAAATTTTCAAAAATTAGAGTTTAGTAAAGATAATAATTTTATTTCAAATTTTAAAAACACCTAAATGCTAACATTTATTAAATTATTTGAAATTAATTATTTGTTATATTAAGCTTTATGTTTATGATTGTAGACAGCTTTAGAATTTGACATCAAATATTATTGATATATTTTCAAGGAAATAAAATAAAGGATGATGAATAATATGGAAAGAGCTGCTTGATTTAAGTCAGTAAACTTAAAAGTTAATTAAAGCATTACTCAACCACAATATTTATGCTCAACTTATGTGATGTATTTGTAGCGATGTGAAACGTTCGAGAGAGTATCTAGCAAATTAAACGGCCTAAATATGAATATAGTCTGGAATATAGTCAAAAGTCAAAAGTCCTGTTTCTCTTGGAAACAGTTATAAGATGTTTTCTCCCTTCTTGCAGCACTCCTCTGTGGTGTAACGGTAGCACACTTGGCCCGTATTCGAGAGGTTCATGTTTCGAATCCCGGCGATGGCACTGCACATTTTTCGCATCTCTTATTTCAGAAGAACCTAATAACTCTACAAATGGCACTCGAACTAAAGCCTAGTAGACAATGATTCATCACCACCAGAATTTGACGATTGAGTCCCCTAATCCTCAGTCACCTTTTAAAAATGGGAATATGAAAGGTAATTTATCCCTTCTTTCCGGCATGCCTTCGTGGTGTAACGGTAGCTTATTCAGCGCTTTTTCGGTAGGTCCAGGTTCGAGTCCCGGCGAGGGCATTGCACATTTTTCACAGCTCCTGCTTCAAAATAGCCTAAAAACTCTAGACAGTTTCTAAATGATATAAAATGTTTTTAAATTTTAAATGTATTAAAATATTATGTCTCTAATCAAAGGCACTATTTTTTTCAATGTTAATGATTTATAATATTTTGTTCCTGCTCTGCAGAAGATATGTTATCTAAATTAGACATGATATAATGAAAAAAGAAATTTTACCAAATGTTTTTTAAATTATTAGTACATTAGATGCACTAATAATTTCAAGTATTATTTAAATGTGTTCAAAAGATATCGAGATAATTTCAACAATAAGAATTTTTGTCACGGAAACATAAAGTGCAATTCTCCTTATTTTTGTTTAATAAAATGCTCCTAATTTTATAATATCTCAGCAGCTGATTACAATAAATGAACATATAGAGACAATGGGTTATTTCGAAGCAGAAAAGATAAAAAAGGAGCAAAGGCCTCGCCGGGACGTGAACCACGGACCTCTCCAATACGCGTCCAGCGTGCTGACCACGAAGGCATGCTAAGAAGACGGGGAGAAATACCTTACATACTACTCTTTTAAAGGACGACTGGAGATTAGAGGACCCTATCGTCAAATCCCGGTGGTGAAGAGTCATCATCCACCACCGTTTTTAGTTCGGGGGCCACTGTAGGGACATTAGATATTTTAAAACAAGAGAGATGAAAAATGAGCAAAGCCCTCACCGGGACTCGAACTACGGACGTCTAGAATACGCGTCGAGCGTGCTGACCACTACACCACGTAGGCATGCGAATAAGGCGGGAGAAATATCTTATAAACTAACTGACGTTATTTAAGAATCCAGTATGGACTTATGATCATAAACAAAATAGACAGTAAAACATCCAACACTTAAAGAAAATATTTGCCTCTGTTTCATACTTTTCATGAAAACTAACTACACATAAGTATCCAAATGAAGATTAACCAAAATTCATAATCAAACATACGATAAAGATTCAATTCATTCTTAAGTGCTGTCAAAGTGAAAACTGAAATTTTGCATGTAGTACATAATATTTGTTTTCATTTGTTTAATATATCTGAAACTGATTTTCTAGTTTGCAGTAAGTAATTTCTGCTGACAGATAGAAGAAAGACGCAAAGTATGCTTACCATATCAGATTTCTACTAATATTCTAGCTTTATTAGGCAAGTAAGTCTGAAAACATTCGAGAAATTAATGGTAGTGTACATTTTAAAACCATTTTTGAGTGTCTGACGTAAGTACGATATATTCATTACATGTTATGTAGCAGCAGACAATCATTAATCAGGTCCTAAATTCTCCAGTAAGCTCTGCAGTTGATTAATCACTAGTTGAAAATGGTTAAACAGAAAATGCCGCATGACAAAAGTTAGATTTTTAATTTGCCATGGAATTTACTGAAATATGCGAAGTTATGTAATTTAAGCACTGAGGTACTTTGAGAGTACTTATTATAAGCTTCATGTTCTTATTAAATGCTTCTAAATAGAAATATCGTATATTCTGGCGTACAACGCGAACTTTCAATTCAAAAATAAGATCGAAATATGAAGGTGCGCATTATACGCCGAGTATAAAAGTGATAGATTTAAAAATAAGGAATGAGCTTAAAATGAATTATATTTCTATATGTACGTAAATGCTGTTTATTTAAGTGGGCTCATACACCTTAAACCCCTTACGATCTTCGAATATGTGACTGTTGCAAGAATTGGGATATTTTACTTATTTTAAAAGCAATTACTTCCAACCTTTTACAGTTGACTATATAATATAGCTGCTTTGGAAACTAGTAACCGGAAAGTTTGTGTTGCCAAAAATATTTTTGTAATTTAATCCGCTTTATGACAAAATGTTCCGTCATGTTTCCACCTTGCGCGCATGATATTTTAAAAATGGCTAATGATACATATTTGAAATTTGATGGAATTCTTTATATGGGCACTATTTTCTAACTGAACCAAAATGATGAATATTTCAATATTAAAAAAATTTACGCATGAAAACATTACATATATTTTTCAATAAAATACATTTTATAAACTCAACTCCAAATAAAATAAAAATTTAACATGAAATTTTTAGAATTTTCGGTTCACAGTAGTTTAAAAATATTATAAAAGCCATATTTTAAATGTGGAATTAAATTATGCTACAGAATGTTTTAAACTGAGCTCGCAAGGTGGAAACAGGACGAAAAATTTTGTCACAAAGCGGATTAAATTATAAAAAATATTTGTGACAACACAAACTTTTTGATTACTATTTCAGAAAGCTGCTATATTATTTAGTCAGCTGTAAAAAGTTGGAAGTAATTTCTTTTAAAATAAATAAGTTATCCCAATTCTTGCAACAGTCACCTATTCGAAGATCTTAAGGCCCGTCCACACGAGTACGCTCGAAACGTAGCTGACGAACGCGCTTTTTAAAAGCGTCCAAACGAGTACGCTTGCGAAGAGTGCGTTTAACCAATACAATTATTTTGCGCAAAAATCACGTGACGCTGTGATATAGCGTCAACAGAGCTGTATCTTAAAACTTCGCTGTGCTTCTGTACGTTTGGCGGCAAGTTGTCCGAATCAGATGACTTTTTTAATAGCTGAAACTTTACTATTAAGTGCAATTATTAAGCAGAGGCAAAACCGCAAAAAATGGCAAGAATGGGTCCCAAAGATTTATTTAGAGCAATCTGTTTGTTCAAAGAGGTTTTTTTTTTTTTTTTTTTTTTTTTTTACTGCCTCTTTTGCGAAATGAATATCCGAAATTATTAAATTCCTACTATTAGCTCACACTCTTCCTATATCTTGTTTAAATTTTCAGTACATAAAATGCTTTTTATTCATCCACTCAAGTCCAAATACAATTTTTTAAACTTGTAGTGAATGACACTTGATGTTAATACAGCTTTTTCACATATTTAAATTTTTTTAATTTTTAATTAAAAAAATTCTGTTTGTATTTTTATTTATTTATTTATCTATTTTTGCATTTTTAAAATTTTTCTTTGTGGACCTAAGTAATTACTACTTGTAATACCTATCTAAGAAATTGACTTAATTTTTTTATATTACTTGTTTTTTAATTACTTCAGGATGAGTATCAACCAGTTTGACAGACTTGCAGATTCTATATAGTATGAAAATTAGGATTTATAAAATTGGTTTGGAATACAGTATATAAAAAAGAATTAAATTACTTAATTTTGTTTGTATACACCATCCACCATATAATAAAACCAACTTCATATTTTTTTAACTCCCCTCCCTTGGTCTTTTGTTTTTCTTTTTATTTGTTTTTGAATTTAGAATGAGATTCAAACTTTGTACAGTTTATGAGAAATTATGTGCATGATAAAATATGCAATAAAGTAAAAATAAAGAGAGAATTTATAAATGATATATGATAAAGAGATGCCGATATACGAGTATTATTACATAAGGGGTTTCTATTTGCAATGCACATTTTTAAACTAAATTAAAAACAATAATGATGATGAATAAAATAAGAAATGTATACAATATAATAGGTAAAATAAGAATATAATGATGAAACACGTTTCAAAATGAGAAAAGCTAACTGAATTATATACTATCTACGGGTGAGTCTCAAACTCGCCAGCTTTCCATTTGCAAAGCAGCGCGCTGACCACTCAGCTATCTGTGAGAGCAATGCTTGCGAAAAATAATGTAATAAGTAGAAGTCACTGCAAAAATAATTTAACTAAACTTCAATAAATGATTGCTGTATGGCACACGTTGTAACTTTCCTCTAAAATTTCGTAATTGTATTTTATTGAATACTCTTTCACAGTCAATTGCTTTATTTTAGAAGTTGTTATATTGCTGAAGTTAGTTTTTGGTGTACTTAATATTGGGATATTTGTAGAGCTTTTTATTACACATGATATAGCCAATATTTATAATAATTAAGGAGAATTTTGTAAGGCAGAAACTTTGATTTCGTAGAAACTGTAATTTATTTAGGTTCCTATTACTTACGGTGTTATAAATAGGTGAAGCATATGGATATACTGGTCGGATCATTGCTTTATAAATATACAGTTTTTCCCTTTAATGAAAATTTTAAATTTATACCAATATATATGGTTTGAGAAATCTGAAGATGGCGTGAACAATGCTGATTATTTTATTGCTGTATATTATTATGATATTTCTAATCAAAAACTCATCTCTGTG